GGGACACCCTGACCCACCGAGGGAGAGCGTGGGGACACCCCGACCATGAATGAGGGACACATGGGGACACCCTGACCCACCGAGGGAGAGCGTGGGGACACCCCGACCATGAATGAGGGACACATGGGGACACCCTGACCCACCGAGGGAGAGCGTGGGGACACCCCGACCATGAATGAGGGACACATGGGGACACCCTGACCCACCGAGGGAGAGCGTGGGGACACCCCGACCATGAATGAGGGACACATGGGGACACCCTGACCCACCGAGGGAGAGCGTGGGGACACCCCGACCATGAATGAGGGACACATGGGGACACCCTGACCCACCGAGGGAGAGCGTGGGGACACCCCGACCATGAATGAGGGACACATGGGGACACCCTGACCCACCGAGGGAGAGCGTGGGGACACCCCGACCATGAATGAGGGACACATGGGGACACCCTGACCCACCGAGGGAGAGCGTGGGGACACCCCGACCATGAATGAGGGACACATGGGGACACCCTGACCCACCGAGGGAGAGCGTGGGGACACCCCGACCATGAATGAGGGACACATGGGGACACCCTGACCCACCGAGGGAGAGCGTGGGGACACCCCGACCATGAATGAGGGACACATGGGGACACCCTGACCCACCGAGGGAGAGCGTGGGGACACCCCGACCATGAATGAGGGACACATGGGGACACCCTGACCCACCGAGGGAGAGCGTGGGGACACCCCGACCATGAATGAGGGACACATGGGGACACCCTGACCCACCGAGGGAGAGCGTGGGGACACCCCGACCATGAATGAGGGACACATGGGGACACCCTGACCCACCGAGGGAGAGCGTGGGGACACCCCGACCATGAATGAGGGACACATGGGGACACCCTGACCCACCGAGGGAGAGCGTGGGGACACCCCGACCATGAATGAGGGACACATGGGGACACCCTGACCCACCGAGGGAGAGCGTGGGGACACCCCGACCATGAATGAGGGACACATGGGGACACCCTGACCCACCGAGGGAGAGCGTGGGGACACCCCGACCATGAATGAGGGACACATGGGGACACCCTGACCCACCGAGGGAGAGCGTGGGGACACCCCGACCATGAATGAGGGACACATGGGGACACCCTGACCCACCGAGGGAGAGCGTGGGGACACCCCGACCATGAATGAGGGACACATGGGGACACCCTGACCCACCGAGGGAGAGCGTGGGGACACCCCGACCATGAATGAGGGACACATGGGGACACCCTGACCCACCGAGGGAGAGCGTGGGGACACCCCGACCATGAATGAGGGACACATGGGGACACCCTGACCCTGTGCCAGGGGGGCACTCGCCATTTTGGGCCAGGCTGGGGGTTGGCAGTGCCTCAGGGGCCTGGCATGGGGATGTGGGTTCACCCCACTGTGCCCCCACCCCCTTGCAGTTTCATCGGCTCCAAGAGGTGACGCTGAGCCATCTCCAGAGCATCGCCGAGAACTACAACATCTCCTATAACATCGACAGACGCTTTCGGGCGCTGGCAGAGCAGGCGGAGGCGGCTGCTGCTGCCCGGGATGCCCTGGGCACCGAGCTGGCCCGCCTGGCCACCGCTGGCC